CGCCCGGCTGCCACAGCTCCCGGATGAAGCCCGGAGGCTGGGTGCGGGGCAGGGCCTTGCCCTGGACGCTGCGGCAACCGCGGGAGGGGAGCAGGCCGCGCCTGCAGAGGAGCCAGCAGTGCGGCAGCTCCTCCAGGTAAGAAAGGGGCGCCCCGTCCCTCACCTCCACCCCTCCTCCTGGGCAGGACGGGAGGGGGCGATGGGCGTGAATAGGATCGCAGCTGGATACTCTAGAGGAAACCAGCCTTCTGAGGACACACAGAGATCTCTAACTAGTAAGGGACACCATCCACGGATCTGTACAAATTTGTGCTGGTTTCCTACGGTGGTCCCTGCGGGAAAGCTGAGAGCAAGTGAGGGTTTTTCTTGACAAGGGACTGTGCCAGAAAATCACGGCTGGCTGTGGTAGGGGCTCAAAAGTGGACCCTCAGAGGCCGTGGCTCTCTGGTTGATGACTCTGAGCCCGTGTTTCTGTGGCTGCAGCCGACACCAGCACAGGCCAAGTTCACTGGAGCCCTGAGCCACGTTTCTCTTCCACAGTCAGGGGCAACTGGTCCCAGGATGTGAGGAGGTGGGCACACCTGCCCAGGTGGAGACAAGGCCCCCACCATCCCCCCTCCCCCCACCCACACTAGGTGCTCCTGCAGGGGCCGTGCCACCCCTGACACCAGGCCTGTGAGCCTTCTGGCTCCTGGTCACTCCCAAGACCAGTCTCAAGGCTCTCCCCACCCTCCCCTGCCCACCACTCCCAACCCCAGCCCTGCCCCATCACCTCAGCAGCTGGAGGGGACGCAGGACCACTATGAAATAAAAGGGCTCCATGTTGAAGGCCAGAGCCAGCAGTCCCAGGAAGGCGAACGCTGTGACCAAGAAGTCGAACCTGGGAGGGAGGAGGAGAAGCCATGGTCTGCTCGGCCCACCCCTAGCCTCCCCCACGACGGCCGGTGGCTCCCCGGCCCTGTGCCCGGCACTCCCTTCCAAGGAGCCCGCACGCCAACCACCGCAAAGGCAGCCACAGGCCCCGCAGTGGCCCACAGCCAGCCAGCTTCCTACCGCTATCGGGTTTCTGAGGCGGGTGTGGCTGGGCCCCAGTCACAGCACACACCTCAGGGGTCAGACATGCCTACGGACGTCCCCGGTGGTGCAGTGGTTAAGAATCCGCCTGCCGGGTCTGCCTGCCGATTCAGGGGACACGGGTTCGTGCTCCGGTCCAGGAAGATCCCACATGCTGCGGAGCAACTAGGCCCGTGAGCCACAACTGCTGAGCCTGCGCGTCTGGAGCCTGTGCTCCGCAACAAGAGAGGCCGCGACAGTGAGAGGCCCGTGCACCGCGATGAAGAGTGGCCCCCGCTTGCCACAGCTAGAGAAAGCCCTCGCACAGAAACGAAGACCCAACGCAGTAAAAATAATTAATTAATAAACTCCTACCCCCAACATCTAAAAAAAAAAAAGAATCCGCCTGCCAATGCAGGGGACAAAGGTTCGAGCCCTGGTCCGGGAATATCCCACATGCCATGGAGCAACTAAGCCCGTGTGCCACAACTACGGAGCCTGCACTCTAGAGCCCATGAGCCACAACTACTGAGCCCATGCACCACAACTACTGAGCCTGCGCTCTAGAGCCCGCGAGCCACAACTACTGAGCCTATACTCTAGAGCCTGCGAGCCACAACTAGTGAGCCTGCGTGCCTAGAGCCGGTGCTCTGCAACAAGAGAAGCCACCGCAATGAGAAGCCCACGCACCGCAATGAAGAGTAGCCCCAGCTCGCCGCCAACTAGCGAAAGCCCGAGCAGAGCAACGAAGACCCAACACAGCCAAATAATAAATAAATAAATAGATAGATAGGTAGATAAATAAATAAATAAGAATTCGCCTGCCAATGCAGGGGACATGGATTCGATCCCTGTTCTGGGAAGATCCCACGTGCCGCGGAGCAACTAAGCCCGTGCGCCACAACTACTGAGCCTGCGCTCTAGAGCCCGCGAGCCACAACTATTGAGCCTGCGCTCTACAGCCCGTGAACCACCACCGCTGAGCCCACGTGCCACAACTACTGAAGCCCGTGTGCCTAGAGCCCGTGCTCCACGAGAAGCCACTGCAATGAGAAGCCCTCGCACAGCAATGAAAAGTAGCCCCTGCTCGCCGCCAACTAGAGAAAGCCTGTGCACAGCAATGAAGACCCAATGCAGCCAAAAATTAATTAAAAAAAAAAAAAAGCCTAGAAAGCCCTCCTGAAGGTCCCACACTGGTCTCATGGCAGACACGGGTTACACCAGCGACCCTGGTGAAGGCACTGAGGGGTGGGGCAGGACCACAGGCGAGTCCCACAGGGAAAGCAGGACAGAGAGACCCTCTCTCCTCCCAGATACACATTAAGGCCCTGCAAACTGCATGTCCACACGCCACTGCTCTGCCCGACTCTTCTCTACTTATTACCTTGTTTTTACTCTCATGACCCAAGACCTTGTGAGTGCAGCCCGATTTCATGGGTGAGTTAACTTTCACGGGCAGTGAGCCACCTCTCGGGGTCTCTGGAACAGGGAGAAAGGCCACCAGCTCGATGCTGACCAAGCATCAGGACCCGTGGCACTTCCTTCTCTGTGGGTGTCATGGTTTTTGTGGAGGAGAAAAGAGCTTGGTTGTCAGGGAGGGGTGTGGGGTTAGGTGACTCGCAGAGAGCCAGCTGGCCTAAGGACCCCAAGAGCCCATGTCCAGTAGAGGGACTGGCGGGGGCGGTCTGAGACAGTAAGATGAGGGCCTGACCCTGGGGAGGCCTGGAGCCACTGGCAGAATTGCGCCAGGAGACAGGGGCCTGACCCAGCCTCAGACCTTCCCTCTGAAACTGTGCAGTGGGTGTGGACGGAGAGGACCTGTGGCTTTCATTAGAGTCTCTGACGTGCGTGAGAAACGTGCTCTCTACTCACAGATTCCATCCGGAGGACAAGTACTCAACTGGGCCGAGGCCGGCTACTTTGAGGAACAGCTCCACCCCGTAAACTGTAAGCAGGAAGAAGCAGTTAGCAGCGGCCCTGCCACAGCCTCTGCCACCCCTGGCCTGGCTCATTTCCTCCTCAAGACTCTCCCGAGGTCTGGTCACGTGCCCTCCAGACACCCGCGTCACACCCGCACCCCTGAGAGAGTGTGGGCTCCAGGGCAGGGCCTGGCCCAGATGCTGGCCAACCGGGGCCGCCCGCTAACAAAAAGCACTCGTTCCCGCTTCCTGGGAGTGGCCGCAGGCATTGTCTGTCCATCCAACAGGTATTTCCTAAGCCCTTCGCCCGTGCCAGGCATTGCACTGGGTGCTGGGTGCCCAGCCCTGAACAACACAGAGCTTAGAGTCTAGACTCAGGGGAAAGACAGCAAACTGATATGTTAGTAGACTGGGGGAAGAGTGTTACATTTGAAAGAAATCAGGGGCCAAGCCGGAATGATCTTGTCCTGCTTGAGGGGCAGAAGGTAGGTTGGCGTCATTGGAACACAATGAAAGAAGAAGCTGAAGAGGGAGCTTTGGAGGGGGCATCAGATCACACAAGAGACACAGCTGGGAACAGATTCCAGGTCTTCCTGACCCCAGAGTTTGTGCACTGAATCACTATGCTACTCTGAACTCCACAGAAAAAGCCAAAGGGCACTGATCAAGGCAGTAAAAGTCATGCTTTTTAAGAACAACGAAAACAATTTAAGACACAGTGTTATTAGTTATGTCTAATGTTTAGACATAAAGGGAGAGGGGTGTCAGGCAGAGCGTGTGGTGAGGGGGTGAGTGCACCAGGCAGAGGAAAACACCTGTGCAGAGGCCCAGAGATAAGAAAGGGCAGGGGCCCTGGGAAGCGGGATGTGTTCAGGGGGGCTGCAGGTGGGGCACGGGTGGTGGTACTGGCAAGAGATGAAGCCTGAGAGGGAGGCTGAAGGGGCCCGCACGGGAACTTGGTCTGGAGGCCAGTGGGCAATCACCAAAGAGTCTGAAACGGGGATGGGGTAAAATCAGACTCGATTTCTGCTCCACCCTCATCACGCTCCCCTGCTTTAGAGAAGAGCCATGAGATCTTAACCCCAAAAGAAGTTCCAGACAGTGGTTGGACAAGCACTTGAGCAAAGCCACGTCAGAAACTTACTAGTCAGGAAGACGAGGTAACTCCAGGGCACATGCTTGGAGAAGTTCCCACCTGTAAGAAGAGAGGCAGCAGTTCAAGAGCTGGGCCAGGTGTGCCCACAGGACGGGCCAGTCCCCTAGCCAGGCTCACCTTTCAGCATGAAGGTCTCCACAAGGATCCAGACCCCGTTGACTGCCACCACCAAGTCTGCAACAGACAGGCTCATAATAAAGCACAGGTGGGTGTGGAAATCTACAGGTCACAGCTGCAGCCCCTGGTTAGTTTCTAGGCAGCTCTGAGGTATGCAGAGAGCAGGGCTTGTAACAGATAACTTCCTGCTTAATGCTTTTACCATGAGCTAAATCAGCCAGTAGTTTCTCTTACTAAATAGCTACAGATTTCTAAAAATCACCCTCTATGTCACTACAGGGATACCAGTTAAGATGTTTCAGTAAAACCTACAGATTTTTCCAAGTTGGCGTAAAAGATGGACCATATACAAAGGGTTTGAGTATTGAAAACATTTGTTTTTCCCTAGAGATATCTGGTTTTTAAATGACTGCAGAAACTAGTTAGCAAAATTGCATATGCGTTTGGCCTTTCACCTAACAATCCTACTTTTAGGGATCCGTCCCAATGAGACATTAGCAAAAACACAAATGACGTATACTGAAAGCTATTCACTGAGGAACTATTTGTGATAGCAAGGAAACTAGAAACAACCTAAACGATCAATAGGGAGACTGGATGAATAAACTATGATACGTTCATGAAATGGTGTACTCTCAGCTATAAAAATGAACAAAGAACATCTCTGTATATTAATATGGTGTGGTCTCTAGGATGTATTGTTAACTGAAAAAAAAGCAAGGTTGAAAAAAGTGTATAAATTATGCTAGTTTATTTAAGGCAGGGAAATGTGCATATATGCATCTACTTATAGTTTTTTTAAAAATGGAAGGATAAACTACAATAAAAGTTACCCACTGGGGGAGGTGACAGGATGGAAACAATTCTTCCTTGAGTATACTTTCTTTTGTAGATCTGACTTGGAATCATATACATATTTTACATAATTATAAGGCAAAATTCAATGTAAAAAGTGGCCTCAAAATATTTTTTCAAATGAAATAAAGAAATGTAGATGGTGACATACCCACATGGAGAAAAACTACTCCAGATGAATTTAAAACACAGTCATCTGAACCCCTGGAGTGGTGTTTCTAGCAATTATATTATTAGGGTTATGTTGGTATTGTTTTTTGGAGACTATTATGTGTGGACTGTGGGATAAAGCAAGTGAGGGACTGTGTCAGTGTTGTTGGGAACTAGGATTTTAAGCCTGGGAATTTAGACGTGAAAGAATGATGAGGGCTTCCCCGGTGGTGCGGTGGTTAAGAATCCACCTGCCAGTGCAGGGGACACAGGTTTGATCCCTGGCCCGGAAAGATCCCACATGCCATGGAGCAACTAAGCCCGTGCACCACAACTACTGAGCCTGTGCTCTAGAGCCTGTGTGCCACAACCACTGAAGCCCGTGTGCCTGGAGCCCGTGCTCCGCAACAAGAGAAGCCACGACAATGAGAAGCCCGTGCACCACAATGAACAGTAGCCCCTGCTCGCCACAACTAGAGGAAGCCCGTGCACAACAACGAAGACCCAACACAGCCAAAAATAAAAACAAATTTTAAAAAAAGAAAAAGAAAAAAAAGAATGATGAAGTTAGGTAAAAACCCTATAGTCCACAATTTGAATTAAGAATATCAGGATAGGGCTTCCCTGGTGGCGCAGTGGTTGAGAGTCCGCCTGCCGATGCAGGGGACACGGGTTCGTGCCCCGGTCCGGGAAGATCCCACGTGCCGCGGAGCGGCTGGGCCCGTGAGCCATGGCCGCTGAGCCTGTGCGTCCGGAGCCTGTGCTCTGCAACGGGAGAGGCCACAACAGTGAGAGGCCTGCGTACCGCAAAAAATAAATAAATAAATAAAAGAATGAGAGTTCAGAAGGGCCATATCTAATTTCTAAAAAAAAAAAAAAAAAAAAAAAAGAATATCAGGATAAACTCACAAGATTATCTTTCAAAAATCCAAAATCCTACCTCTGTCCATGGAAAGGCCTGGAAACAATAACCAACTCCAAGCAATGAGCACCTCTAGCATCTCAGATTGTGGTCTCTAAACACCATTTCCCAGTAAATGGAACCAGAACTCCTTAGAAAGAGTGAATTCAATCAAGCCTCTAGATTAGTAGAAATGTCTGCATCTGTGCTGTCCAATTGGTCATCATTAGCCACACATGGTTACTGAGTGCTTGAACTGCAGCTATTGTGACGGGAAGTGAATTTTTAAGTTTTAGTTGGTCTAAATTTAAATAGCCATATATGGGCTGGTGGCTGCCACACTGAACAACACAGCTCTAGCTATAACTACCAAATTACAGCAAATCAGCAACAGAGGAACATGCAAAATCAAGACTGAAGGACAAACAATCCTGTTCCTTCAACTAAATATTGCAAGAGGAAGAAAATGGACTGGGGGAGAAACCTACAGATTAAAACAGACTGAAGTGACATATCAACAAACCACCATCTGCAGTTCTGGAATCTGCTTCCAAAAGCACCAGGTCTAGAGAAGGGGTGATGAGCTGGACTGAGGGGATCAGACAGACAAGAAAGACAGGCAATGAGATGATAACTGTTGACGCTGGGTGATAGGTACGTGGATGCTCTTTACAATCGTTCCACTTTTATACATGCTTGGAATTTTCTATAATGAACAGCCAACATCATAACTGCAGGTTTTATCCCTTGCATCCCCACCTTCTGGAGCATTAAGACTCAGGAGGAAAGGGGCCTGGAGCTGTGATATTTCACACTTACACATGAAATACTGGAAGGCCTTGGACTTCACAAGGATATTAATTCCTATTTGAAGAGAAGACATGTTAACAGTGAAATTTTCATGTACAAGTACACGTTCCCCTACCACAGACATCATGCGTGTAAGCAACCGGGGTGTTTATGACCAGGGGTGAAAAAGGAAGGGCCTGCTCTCAGAAGGACACCCATGCTTGTGCCCGGACCCCTGGGCAAGACAGCACTGGCAACATTCCCTCTGGGAAGAGCCTGAGCAACCTGGAGCCGGGACAGAGCAGAACAAAGCTCTGCTGGCCACTGCTGAAACTGTAAGTTTGCTCCTGGCCTAGAACCGGCACTGTTTATTTATCCCCTTGAGTAACTATCATCCCAGTGGAACGGAAAACTCGCTGAAGAATATGGAATAATAACAGCTGTGCTCAAAGTCCTAGCTGTGGAAGAAATAACAAAATAGGAGATACCATATTAACTCTTGTTCATATGGCCCAGACCCCTGTGAGCTAACCATACCCCATGTGGAACTTCAAAACTGGCATTAAATTCAGGGAAAACTATTAGGTAAATGATATGGGGCCCTCCAATTTTAAAATTTTCAATTTTATACAATGCAAGCATTATGTGAGGGATCAGATACACTAGCTATATATCCTGACACTGGAGGAAGGTCAAAATCCATCATTAGGTAAAAAGGCAGGTTTCAGAACATAATATATAATGTAATCCCCACTACTGTTTTTAAAATGCACAGAAAAATAACCAGAAGGAAACACATCAGAAAATTAGCGGTGGTTATCTCTGCGTGGGAGACTTTCATTTTTTTCTAATTATTTGACTTCGTATCAATTTTCTTCAATAAATAAATATTCCACAAATTTTTTTTGGTTTGGTTTTTATGTTACTGATTTCCTTCCTAATCCAACACTATTTCCCTGCTGGGGTAATCACACTCTGTCTCTTTTACACACATAGACATTTCGCGTGCACACACACACACACACACACACACCCTCTGGACATGTTCTTTAAATGCCTATCTGTGGTCACCGGAAACCTCCATTCGTCCCCAGCTGCCATATTCAGGTCAACCTTACCTTTGAAGATGAGGAATGCTGTCCTGGGAAGCTCATCAAACCAGTGCTCTCTATTTCTCTTTGCCTGGCCAAGGAACAGGGCCATACGAGAGAGAGCGTTAGGACCAGTGACCAGAGCCCAGCCCTGGGGGCATGGATGCAGCTTTCCTTTCCTGCTCTCCTGGCTAACTTGGGAAACCATGAAAACACTCAGGGATCTAAAGAACAACAAAGCCAGCCAACGTTTGCTGAACTCTTCAATGTGCCATGCACTGGCATTGTTTTTATAGAATCCTGAAAATAATGCGGTAGGTAGGGACTCTCATGACCCCACTTCCCAGGTGAGACAAGCCTTGGAAGGGCTTCATAACTTGCCTGATGTCACATGCTGACTAATGGGGTCTGAGATTCAGTGCTTTTAACCAGGACACCGCACTGCAGGTGGACAGGCAGATGCAGGGCCAGGGGCCACCTGTTATCCCTCCACTGCACAATGCCCAGCCGAGAGGTGAGATGTCCCAGCAGGGAGAGAGCTGGACAGCCGGGTGCCTCCTGGCCTCATCCCCCTCCCATGGAACCGTCTGCCGGGTCACTCCCTGGAGAGCACCCACCTTCCACTTCAAGGCGGCAACTTCGTAGATGTCTTGAAAGTCCTTCAGGCTGTCATAAGCAACAAGGGCAAAAAAAATCAGAGCACGTTCCCACCGAGCTTCGGTCCTCTCACTCGCCTGCCTATGGTCACCTTCGAGGGGTGCAGTGGGGGAGGGGAGGAGGCGACATCTGCGAGTCCCAGCGCATCAGGGCCCAGGGGACCCGCACCCGCAGGAATTTCATCTCCTCCTTCCTCCAAGGACTATGGATACTTAATCCACTCAGTCTATACAGACCACTGCTGGCTTCCGTCCCCCAGAGAGGCAGCCCCCAGATTACCACCATTCTTAGACAGACAGGGACTGAGCCTCCTTTAGTAGAGGACTTAATAGAACAACCAGGGCAGAGAGTTCAGCCCAAACAGAGCTTGCTCACTCTCGTCTCTACAGCAGGCCTGCCTCATCTCAGATCAAAAAGAAGGGTTTTGGGGCTTCCCTGGTGGTGCAGTGGTTGAGAGTCCGCCTGCCGCTGCCGGGGACACGGGTTCGTGCCTCGGTCCAGGAAGATTCCACACGCCGCGGCGAGGCTGGGGCCATAAGCCATGG